GCCTAGGCGCAGCGGGCGGCCACAGCGGCCCCTGTTGGCGGGAGGGCGTGAAGAGTAGGGCGTGGGTAGGCTGCCCCAGCTGCGCATGCGCACTAAGGCATAGCGGCCCTCGCCCAGACAGCTCCATTCGGGGGCGGGTCTGGTAATGTGGGGTGTGTGCGTTTTGTTTTTTCTCAAGAGAAAATCATGATGATCAGGGACTTTGGTTTTCTCTTGAGTCAAAACAAAACAAAACCAAACCTCCAATTTTCAGATTAAAAATAGTAACCCAAAATCCATGACTATCTATATAGATATAGATAGCTATATTAATGGTGTTACATTTTAATCACGGAAAAATGAGGATTTGGGGTTACCTTTTTTCATCCGAAAATTGGGGATTTTGTTTTTTAATCAAAGAAAACCAGGCTCCCTGCTGATGATACATGACTGCATGTGGAAGGGAGCAGGAGAGCAAGGGGATGGGGGGAAGACAGGGCAGAGCTCTCACTGGGTTTCTTGGCCATACTTTTGGGCGGCCTCAAAACCCTCCAGAAACACTGTTCAAATTATCAAAGTAGAAAGGAAACCTTGGAGCTCTTTTCACAATGAAAACGATGGTTAAACCTGCAAAATGCGCATTCTTTATTTTCTGCCCCTTAACAAATGCATTTTACTTTCTTCAGAGCTGTCTGAAGCAGAATGCAGCACTGGCTCTGCAAGCCTGGTGGGAGGTGCCACACATGAGTCCTGGGCTGGGCTGGGCTGCTCCTGCCAGGAGCAAGGACTTGCACCACCTGCACCACAGATTCGGGAGGCAGCAACACCATGTGGCAACTCTGAATTTTTTATTTTTTTTTAAAGCAACCCCCTAAACTGTTAGGAAGCTTAAGAAACAAAAATGAAAAATCCTGAGATACTTCCATTAACGGGAAAAATTACAGGAGCCCAAAGATACTTAAACAGGTTAAGAAAAGAAAAAAATGTGCAAGGGGACCAGAGGCAAGGATTGTAAAGCAGGAATAAAGGAACCAGCATAATGCCTTCTATGGTGTGGTCAGTGAGGCTGGCTCCCTGGGATAGCCAGCAGCCCCCCTGTTTTCCCAAGTACTTTTCACACTAGGCTAGGGGAAGAAAAACAATAAAAAGTCAACATTAGAAATGCTTGGAATTTTATTGAAAGTCTCAGAATATCTTTTAAAAAAGTCCAGCTCCTGGAGTCAAGTTATGACGTACAAATTTCAGATTTCATTTTTCAAAGCAGCATGATTCTAGCCAGTATATTTGCAGAGAAAAGCTTGAAAAGGCAATTCAGATGTACTACAAGAAAACCAGAAGGCACATTCTTTAATTTCATGATTTAGAACCCAACCTCCTAGTTTTGGAGGGCTAATTAAAGGCTTTTAAACATTGGGAGTAAGCAGTGTTTAAACTGCGATTTTAAAACTATATTAGACTGAGCAGTGCCTGAATCTGCTTTTAACTTAATATTTGCTTTAATTAAATGTTTGCAGTGATTTCCTTTTGAGTTGATAGTGTGTAAGCAATTGAGTTGGGCAATAACAAAGAGGAAACAGATATATAGTTATAGATCAGGGGCAGGCAATTAGTTTTGGCAAGCCATTGAGAGCCGCATGACAGGCAGCCCAGGGCAGATAAATACTAATTTTCCAAATTTTACTAATTTTCCAAATGTGGCCCCCGGGCCACATTTTGCCCAACCCTGTTATAGACCCTGTCCTGCAAATTGTTGCATGGTGGACTCTTGCCGTTTTCCTGAACCTAGCTGAAGTCAGCAGGACTTCACGCAAGTGCAGAAGTCTGCCTTACAGAGATCAGATTGGAAGGTAATTAGTAGATACAAATCATAGCCCCTGCAGACAATTTGTTTTTATTTTGAGACCTTCATTTTTTTAGATGGTCTAACTCTAAACAAACCCCTAAGCCTCTGTGCAGAGCTGGCTTTACTCATATTGGATGACTTGCATTGGTAATTTAGCTTGGGGGATCTCCCACAGTACAGGCAATTGCCCTGTATTCTCATATAGAAAACTGGCTTTGCCTTTGTGGAGCCTAAGTGAAGACAAGGGGATTTATTAATAGGCATAGCTACAGGTAGAACTCAGGGTAATACAGGATAGGAGCAGAGATGGACAAAAACAGGCCAGAAGTGCAGGGGCAGAAGGGTCTGTAACCACTAGATACAATCACCTATAAAAACAGGAATTGAATGCAGGAATCCCATTTAACTCTTCCTCTGCTAGTAAACAGGTGTGAAAATGGCTAACAAAATGCACTTCTTGTCCTTATTCTTGTGACAAGTCCACATAGAGGAAAAGATACCCTATTACTGTTATTATTCAAGTTCAAGTGGGTCCATGCTATGGATCTATATAGGTTCCTCAACTCTGTTGATGCCTCCGCCTCATACCTCCCCCACCATATTGTGGGTCCATATGGTTTCCCATGATGGGATGAAGAGTTGGGAGGAGGAAAGTGTTCTTTTTTAAAAAAAAGAAAGAGAGAAAAAAACTTAAACTACTTTTTACAAAATATACATTAACATTATTAAGGTGGTCAAGTCAAACACACTAACTTTGAGAATATTAATATTAAGATTTCTTGTATAACCTTAAGTAGATGTCTTTATGCATTCAAGGGAAGCGATTCTGCCACTTAAATCAGCACAGGTGAGGCCTTACCTGGAGTACTTGGTCTAGCTTTGGGCTCTGCACT